TGTTTTCATGTAATAAAATGCATATAGTGCGGGCGTGCGTTTTCATTGTCCTTAAGTATACTTAAGATGAACTTTACTCTCACTGAAAGTAATATTTTGGGATAGAAAGATGCTGAAGTTGACTTTGATTCGATACGCACCTATAATATAATCGTCGTATATATCCCATAATGAAGAATTGTTAAAATAATGCAGGATTGTGCATAATCAGACATAGTTGTGTAAATAAATGTCGAAAACTAGTATCTTATGAAGCTACATATATATTGTTCGGCAAATGTGTTAGGTTTACCGAAAAGCAAACTACTAAGGAAGGCCAAATGTGCGTTTTTGTACTCATTAATATCGGCGAAACACAAACTTCAACGCCAAAACAGTAGCCAGTTCGTTTTTCTCTCAAATAATCTGGAATATATGTTATGCGGGTCCTTACAGCCGTATACGCTTGTTTAATTCTATTAATTTATGCGCTTGTTTAATTCTGTTAATTTGATGAAATATACTTTAAAATATATATTGACCCTTTTTCCTTTTCAAAGTGATCATTATCCCCCATATAAATTTGTACAATTCAGCGTTATTTTTCAAAATTTCTGCGTTTACGATGAATATTGTGTAATGCACGAGTTTCTCGACTATACATATTTTCTATTATATAGAGAACAATAGAACAAAAAACAGGTCGGTATATATTTGCAGACCTGTTAAGCGGTAGGTAAGTGATTTACTAGTCCGCTTTTAACAAAAGAGCCGGTGGGCAAATTTACATCTAAGGTGATCCCCTTATGCAAGTTCAACATTGAATAGAGTAAATTAATCTACTTGATCACCTGACCATCTTATGTAATCCCCTTATGCATGTCCCATAATGAAAAGAACTAGAATATGTTTAGAAAGATGAATCCTTGGACATCGTTTATAATCCCTTGATATATGTTCTAGAAGAACGAGAGACAAAGATTATCAAAAAGGTCAATTTTCAAGATCCCCTAGAATTATCATTATTCGTTGGGCACTCGTTTCCGTGATTTTCGTAGATAGATGTACATGGAGATAATAACTTGGTCGGCTAACGTGATCCCCACATTTTTTCATAATAAATAGGGTATATATACATCTATATCCCTTGGTTATTTAACCTGATCCCTACATATCATTTTCAGTAATAAAAAGAGTCTATGTACATCTAATGGTCCCCTGATACTCTTACGTGATCCCCCATATACCTCCATAATGAATGGAGTAAATGTACAGGGACGTAAGGTTCCACTGATTGTCTTACGTGATGCTCATACAAACTCCATATTAAATAAGAGTATATATACATCTATATGATCCCTTGGTCGTCTTACGTGATCCCATCATACAGGTTCCATTACAAAAAGGGCGTATATTCTTTTAGATACCCTGTCATTTAACCTTGACCCCCACACATCTTCTCCCTGATAAAAAGAGTTTATATGTATATCTAATTGATCCCCTGGTCGTCTTACGTAATCAAATAATACATGTTCGATAATAAACAGCGTATATGTCCTCAACATGATCCCCATATCGTCTTACGCGATCCCTTCATACATATTCGATAATATTATATGTACATCTAAATGATCCTCTGGTCATCTTACGTGATCCCCTCATACATGTTCCATAACAAATAGAGTACAGGTATATGTACATCTAGATAATCTCCTGGTCATCTTACATGATACCCTCATACATGCTCCATAATGTATAGAATATATGTACATATACGAGTACATGATCCCCTGGTCATCTTACGTGATCCCCTCATACATGTTCCATAACAAATAGAGTACAGGTATATGTACATCTAGATAATCTCCTGGTCATCTTACATGATACCCTCATACATGCTCCATAATGTATAGAATATATGTACATATACGAGTACATGATCCCCTGGTCATCTTACGTGATCCCCTCATACATGTTCCATAACAAATAGAGTACAGGTATATGTACATCTAGATAATCTCCTGGTCATCTTACATGATACCCTCATACATGCTCCATAATGTAATATATGTGATACCCTCATGTATGTTCCATAAGAACTAGAGTATGTACATTTAAATAAAACCTTGGTAATTATTTAGAATCACACAGTATGTTCTATAAGAACTACAGTACATGTACATTTAGATAATGTAGATGGTCAGATTGTCAGCTTACATGATCCCCTCATATATATTCTATCAGAACAAGAGCAAAGGAAGTTTTTATGATCTTTGGTCATTTTAAGTGATCTTCTCAAACATGTTCTTTTGAGAACCAGAAAATTTCTACATACAGGCGATCATATGGGTATTACGTGATCCTTTCGTGTGTTTCAGATAACTAGAGTATATTAACATCTCAAAGACCCCTGGTTATCTATCTACCCCGTGTTTCCTTTATATATTTTACAAATAAATATAGTACGTTTACATCAAACAATCGTGTATATGTTTATCTAGATGATCCCTTGCTCATTGCCCCCTCATAAATTTTCCATAATAAAAAATATATATTTACATCTAGATGATCACCTGGTCATTTTACCTATTCCTCTTATATATGTTTTATAAGAACTAGAGTGTTTATACATCTCAAAGACCTCCTATATGTTCCATAACAACTAATGTATTTGTACATCTAGATGAGCCCCTACTCATCTTACATTATCCTCCAATACACCTTCTATAAAACCTTGAGTATATGTTCATGTAGATGATCTCTTAGTCCTCTTATATGATTCCTCATATATCTCTCATGTTAACAAGAGTATTTGTACATTTAGATGATCCTTTAGTCATCTTACTTGATATCCTCACATATGTTCATATCGTGGTTAAATTATTGGGCATATGAATGAAAAAACATTTTTATACGATTGTATGACCTGAAGACTTTAAAATCTATTTCCACTTTTTAGACATACATATATATTTATAAGGGGGTTTATGCATAATTGCACTATTAACGAGTGACATTCACAAGGTCACTACGGTTGCACAAAGCTAACATGTGTGTGTTTTTATTTATCTCGTGCGCACGAGATACTATGTCGTGTCAACGAGATAATTACGTCGTGGGAACGAAATGCTATGTCGTGGCCACGAGTTACTAAGTCGTGGCCACGAGATGGTTAAGTCGTGGGAATGAGATACTATGTCTTGGCCACGGCTTAGTAACTCGTGGCCACGAGATAGTTAAGTCGTGGGAACGATATAGTATGTCGTGGCCACGAGCTACTATGTCGTTGCCACGAGATAGCTAAGTCGTGTCCACGAGATAATTAAGTCGTGGGAACGAGATAACTAAGTCGTGCGGGCGAGATAATTAACCAATCAGATTACACTATACATGTATATATAACGATTTTTTAAACTTAAAAAAATCTGTGTAAAGTTTTACATAGAAAATACTGAAGATATTCACTTTGAACTTGTCTTTAGGATCATATTATAAAGTCACATTCCAAGGTCCATCAGACATAAATTTTGACTATAGCCCTTAGTGGGGACAATTTTGTGTGTGATAGAATTTGTCAGTTTGTACGTACTACGGCCTGTTAACCTGTTTAAACGATAACATGAGAAGGAATAAGTCCTGGTTTATTTTATTTGGTAGAGACATTGCCCATGGACAGTAGATAGCCTATAAGGATGTTTAGGTCAAGGGTCAAGGTAACCATGACACTTCAATTAATGTAAAATCCTTGTCTGATGAATGATTTAGAAGGAATAAGCCATGGTATATATAACCTATAAAGATCATTGCACCTGATCGGTAGATGACACCTAATAATTTCGAGGTCATTGGATCAAAAATCAGGATCACAATGACGTTAAATGTACAATTATTGACCAATCAATAACTTGTATAAATGGCACTTTTTACAGGCAAGTGAAGTAGGGGCATCCTTGTACTATAGCACATGTCTAGTTAATTAGGAAAATTCATATAAATGGTGTAATCTGATTGGTTATTTATCTCGTGGCCACGACTTAGTAACTCGTGGCCACGACATACTATATCGTTCCCACGACTTAACTATCTCGACTCAGTAACTCGTGGCCACGACAATGTATCTCGTTCCCACGACTTAACTATCTCGTGGCCACGATTTAGTAACTTGTGGCCACGACATAGTATCTCGTTCCCACGACTTAGCTATATATCGTGGCCATGACTTAGCTATCTCGTGGTCACGAAGTAGTAACCCGTGGCCACGACATACTATCGCGTTCCCACGACTTAACTATCTCGTGGTCACGACATTGTATCTTGGTCCCACGACTTAGCTATCTCGTGGCCATGACTTAGTAACTCGTGGTCACGACATGGTATCTCGTGCGCACGAGATAAATAAAATAAAAACACACACATGTCACCTTTGTGCCACCCTATACATGCCACCGTAGGACACTGATCTTTAATCTTTATCAGAAATTCGTGTATAACTAATACGCTGGGCTTAATATGCTGAGTGTTCTACCCCATGATTCAAATTATCAAATAAATATATTTAAGTATGGAAACAATAAATATTTCTTATTATATAATTTACATTTTCAAATATAGAACATACATATAGAAAATTATCGCACACAAATACTTTTTATGATGAACGTATATTCAGTAGGATTGAATAAATATAATGGTATAGAATATAAAATTATATTTATACGATTTAAATATTGGATATAGACCAAAAAATAGATTTATTGATTTTTGCAACGTTTAACATGCCAAAACAAACCAAAAACTTAATTTTCTTTTTTGTCATGTAATTTCTAATATTGCAACCGTTATACACGCCTTACAAAATGCCGTTGATTTTTTTTATTAATAGAGTTATACATTGATATTTCTCTTAATTTGCTGTTAATTAATTCGTATATACAATGAAGATCTAAAGTCTTTTAAAATAAATCATAACAAAAATTTGATTGAACTGCGTTTAAAATATATATAAATGTATATATGATTACCTAATAGTTGTCTTTGTATCTCCTTACACCTGTGCTTTAAATTCAAATCTGCAAAATTCTCTTTATAAATACTTCTTTAAAGGCCACGTAGCACAAAATGGAAATAACCTAATCATTTTGAAAATCATCCGTGCATATATGGTGACTGGTTTGGGCCATTCGTGTTTTCGCCCCGCGACCGTGCCATGCGAAAAGTCGAGAAATTATAAGTTAAAATGGCGGAGGCGCGGAGCAAAAACACGCTAATTAGCGGCGGGGGGGGGGGCGAAGTTTTATTTATAATACTTCGCTCTCGCTAATTGGCGTGTTTTCGCTCCGGGCCCACGCGATTTTAACGATGGTTTAATGTCGACGGTACGATGAGGGAAAAATTCTAGGTACAATGGTGAAAACACGAAATTGTATCCATTTTTCTTTGTATCGTACATTCGTCTTTTCATTATCGTATCTTCGACTAATCACCGTTTTGGTTTCGTTTTTGACTTATTACTATCGCAATTTCGCGTTTTCGTTGTTTCGAGTTATATGAGTGAATGTATGTGTCGCGATGGCCCAAACGGGACAAAAGTACCGTATTTAACATGTAGCGTGTCATATGGAAAATCCCAGGTACAGTGGATTTTTCAAAAATGAAAATGTTATATGAACCTTTACATCAACTAGGGCATTATCAAGTATCTGATTGCTCTTGATTGTATAGCTATATTTACAATATGTAATCAAACTTTACACAATAACAGCGTGTTATTAACCTTATAAATATAATTCTTTTTGTATTTGTTATTTTGGGGGGATCTGATATTTTCAGACATATCAAATATATACATGTTATAGCCTTGTACATGTACACTTTAAAGAATACGTTATCTCGAGAAAGACGGACATTTGATAGACTTTGGTAAAGTGAACATTAAAGTGTTAAAGTGTTAATCAAAGTGCTGAATGCACTGAATGCGACGGACATGCAAGGTTTTTTCAGAAAAAAAAACACACACACACACAAAAGATATAATAGAGACAGTTTGAGAATTGTAGAGCAATCTATTTTAGGTGTCCCAATCTGAAATCATTCAGATTTTCTACTTACAAGCAGAACACGTCCAAATTTTTAAATTCATAATGAAATTTATGCCTCAAAACTCTGGTCAAACTTGTAAATCAGTGTCCTTATCGATTTATTTGTAAATAAAACTGTCAACGAAATATTTCTAAAATAAAACCATGCAAATAAACTTCAAGCATAATACATAATACATGCAAGAATGTAAATTAGAATTGCTTTGTGTTATATCATAGTTGGCATATAGACAATAAAGTATTAGTCATTAGTATTTTAATTTTTATTTCTCTTGGATATGTCTCATTAAAAATATTTTTGGTTAAAACCATCAGCAATTAATAGTGTATTTTTTAGATTTTTTTTTCATTTACAAGGTAAAGATGTATAGGCCAGAGCACATCGTTTTAATTTTAATTTAAATGTCACTTAAGCACTGTGTTTAGTTGCCCCTTTCAATTTTACACTAAATTCCATTTCCAACTTGTTTGCTTCTTACAATTGTATAAAACTTATTAAAGTATTGCATGTAAACAAAGTAAGAATCCGCTGAATTATTACATGTATAATGTGTACTCCGAAAGTCAGCACAGGTGATGTAGTGGTGATTGGGAAAAATCTATTTTTAGAATAGTGTTATCTATAATACTCTATCACAAATCACATTAACTGATAGCAGGTTAACTCATATCGTGACCTAGAAAAATATGTAATTAATGCGCGAGATATTCTAGAATTGCTGAGTCACGAAAAACTTTTGATCTGTTTGTAAAAATGTTTTGTTTAATGGATTAATATTTATTTCCTACTTATAATTTCTAAGAATTATTGAGCTTACTCCTTAATTATAGCATAATTTGCTGTCCTACTTTTTCGACAGCGGTAAATCGTTTCAGCAGTTATTTGCATATTGCACAATAATACTTCGGGGCTACAGCGTTTTAATCAATCAAATACGTTCATATTTTAACTTGGTTAACTTAATTTGAAATTGAAAAGGCTAAATATGGAAGTTTTTTTCAATATACCGACAAAGTATGGGATTCATAGGATCAAATTCATGTACTATTTCTTGGGCTGTTATTCGCTTGAGGACACTTGCTCGATTGTAGCCGACAAAATCCCATATGTATTATAAGCTAATGTGATTTGTGATAGATTATAATAGATACAAGAAAAGCTTTGATGCAAAGCATCAAAGGGCGTCAAAGCAAGAAAAGCAGCAAGTGAAGAGGTATATGATGACAAGATATTCTTACAAACTTTTCAATGGTTAATTGGTTTGTACAAGAACTGTATATCACTTATGATTGAGCGTACGAAAGACATTGTTCATTATGAACTTTGGTAGGCATGCCAGAGATTAGAACATTACTTTTTTCACAAAACTTGAAATTTTATCAATATTAACGATTATGTCCAAAATATATAGGTCAATGATTACAAAAAATATAGTCCCCATATGGTATATAAGTTTATTTATATACTAGGGGGTATTTTTGGATATTATCATTAATATTGGTGATTTGAGAGAATTTCAAGTTCATGTGGTATTTTCTTTGGAACATACCAAATAGTAGTCAAAATCAGTAAATCTTTTACACTTTGGAAATAATAAAATGCATCTATAATATTATATTATAACTGTTATTTTTATGGTCATAAATGTAATATCGTGATCATTAATAGCAACGGATATATACAATCATTTATAACCCATTTATGTAACGCGTGATCAACACCACATTTGTGTATTGTCCCTTATTATGTTATCGCTATTAGCAAAGACCCCCTCTAATGGTATCTGTTCACACTTAGTAAAAATATGACACTACCGTATAGCGTTGACGGACGTCCAACGCATAACAAAATTTTCAATCCGTCCATGTCCGTTCGCATGCGTTTCTTTTCCGTTTATTATGCGTCGTTTGCGCTTCTTGTCCTGCGGTGTCCGGCGGTGTTCGTTTCGTCCGGTGGAAAGTTTTGAACATGTTTAAAATTTGGAACGTACACCACCGGAAAAAGTTGTCCGTCAGATGTTACGGTAACTATGCGCTGATATACGTTTTGTTCGTTACATCGTACGTTCCTTATTCTGTACTTGTCCGGTTCGAGTCCGTTCTTGTCCGGTGGACCTGATTCACGGCCGACTACTAACGGACATCAAAGGATGTAACGTATGTTTTTAAACTTGACGATAACGAACAAGGGAAACGGTATAAGAACTGATAAATAACAGACATGAATCGATGGGTCCACCGCAAAAAAAAATGATGATGAATAAAACGAGGTTTCCCTGGTTATAACTGTCATTTATTTTTTCCTGCATTTCAAGGACCTTCTGAAACTTTGATAGTATTTGAGTTAATGATCCACATATCATAGAGTGTCCGCGTTAGAGCCCGCCGTGCAGTGATCTAAGCGCCGTGATCCAGGCACGTATTGACCTGTTGGATGCGAATGTAGATATTGACGCTTATGAAAATAGGAGAAAAAGGAGGCGACTGCGGAAAGGTGGGTCAAAGCTTGACTGGGTCCTGAGAGAACGTCGAATGTTTGGTCTCCTACTAAATCAACTCATAAGGAGCTGCGCGTCATTTACGAACTTCATGAGGATGCCTCCTAGATGTTTTGAAAGATTCTGGAACGAGTGGGTCCCAGAAAACAAAACAATAATACCACAATACGAACCCCTCTTGACCCTTTTGGAATGAAGTTAGCCGTTACATTCAGACATCTTGCGTCAGGGTCAAAGTATTCGCCAACATGCGTTGCTGGAGAATACCTCACAACACCATCTCTGTCATCGTGCGAGAAAGTAAATATTTTTATTTTCCCATGATTCTGAATGATAACTCGAAACAATTTACATGTATAATAAATTTATGGTCTTTTAAAATATCAATAAATTTGCTTACATGATTATTTTTACTTTTAAAAATCGCATTTTTATTTACATTTTTCAGGTGTGCAGAGCAATTATAGACGAGTATGTGACGAGGTCATGCCTTTGCCAACAACAGCTGCTGACTGGAAACGCATTTCAGATGCTTCTTGGAAAAATGGAACTTTCCTCACACTGTTGGGTGCTTGGATGGCAAGCATATGCCTGTAAGTGTCCCACCTAGTTCCGGGGTCCACATATTTCAACTATAAGAAGTACTACTCCATTGTCCTGCTGCCCTCGTTGACTACGACTACAAGTTCATTTTGGCCGACATCAGAGGCCGCAGTGCTGCATCTGATGTTTCAGTTCAGTTGTGGAACGAGTCCGACCTTAAAGCTGCAACTGAGGACGGGGAACTCGACCTGCCGGACCCCGAACCCCTGTCACACGACACGCAGGATGTGCCATTTTTCTATATTGATAAGAAAAAAATGCGAGGAAATAAAATAAATGAACATACATGTACTGTAATAGACTGATTTCTTTTAAATGTGTATTGTACTCGTAAATGCATGTAATATATTACTTGTCTATTTTCAGGCGACGATGCCTTTGACCTGAAGACCTATATGCAGAAGCCATACAGTCACAAAGCCTTGTCCCACGATTAAAGGATATTTAACTACAGGCTGTCAAGGGCTCGAAGAGTGGTTGAAAAAAAATGCTTTCGGCATCCTCGCTAACCGGTCCCAAGTCTTGATGAGTACCATGCAGCATCATCCATCGACCATTCGCCTCATTGATACCACCTGTTTGGTTCTACACAACCAGTTTTGTCCGTCACATGACCGATAGAAATACGCTCGTCGAACGTTCAAAGAACTTTTTGGCAGTTCTTCATGCGCTGCGTGTTCGTTTTGTGCGGTACAAATCCGTTACTAGTACGATGAAGTCCGTTAACTGTACGTCGTTCATCCGGTTTATATGCGTTGGTCATTCGGTCATTGTGCGTTTTGTACGTTTTATGCGCCCCGTACAGCGATCATGAGAGCTCCGAGCAGCAGCGAGAAATGCTTTTCATCACCGGATAACTTTCAGCCGTATTTTTCTTTGCGTTCGGCGACCGTTAACGCTATGCGGTGTAGTGTGACTGACGCTTTATAT